TTCCCGCCTAATTCCCGTCTTATTACCGCCTTATTCCCTTCTTATTCACATTGTATTCACGTCTTATTCCCTGCTCATTCCCGCCTTATTCCCTTCTCATTCCCTTCTCATTCCCTTCTCATTCCCGCCTTATTCCCGTCTTATTCCCGTCCTATTCCCGTCTAATTCCCGTCTCATTCCCGGCTTATTCCCGTAGGCGACCCTGCGGCGGCCCTGCGCCTGAGCAGCCGGCTGATCTCTCTGGGCGCTGACGTGAGTCTGCGCAGCCGCTGGACCAACATGAACGCGCTTCACTACGCCGCCTACTTCGACGTTCCCGAGCTCATCCGGGTCCTGCTGAAGGCCGCCAAGCCCAGAGGTAACCCCCCCCCAACCCTAACCCTAATCCTAACCCCATACCCTAACCCGAACCCTAACCCGAACCCTAACCCATACCCTAACCCTAACCCTAACCCTGATCCAGCAGGGGGGCAACGCCGTTTATGGGAGCTAATGGATATGAAAATTTCAGCTAGAATTTGTAAAATTTTTGGAGGAAGCTGAGCATTTCTACTACAATTTGAAATATTTATGCTGGAATTTTAACATTTATGAAAGAATTTTTAAATTTGAACATTTCGGCTAGAATTTGAAATATTTATGCAGGAATTTAGAATATTTCTATTAGAATTTGAAATGTTTATGTACAAATTTATAAACGCCGTTTATGGGGGTTAATGGGGGAATCTGGGATAGTTATGCAGGAATCTGGGGTATTTCTGGTAGAATTTTAAATGTTTATGCAGGAATTTTAACATTTTTGAAGGAATTTGGAATATTTATGCAGGAATTTGGGATATTTCTGTTAGAATTTGAAATGTTTATCCAGGAATTTTAACATTTATGAAGGAATTTGGAATATTTATGCAGGAATCTGGGATATTTATGAAGGATTTAAAAAATGTCTGTTTCTACTAGAATTGAGCATTTCTTGCAGGAAGCTGAACATTTCTACAAGAATTTGAAATATTTATGCTGGAATTTTTACATTTATGAAAGTATTAAAAAAATTCTTCTAGATTTTGAACATTTCTGCTAGAATTTGAAATATTTATGCAGGAATTTAGA